TAGCAACAAGTCATTAATACTCAAGGATTGTTGATGTTGATTGTTGATGTGAGTGGACGGGGACAAAATATGAGCACTTTAAATGGTCCCCTTGTATGATTATTTTGTTTGATGTCTGGGATGACATTCAGTTTAGAGGTTATAACTCACTGAGCAACAGACTTGTAATGTTGTGAATGAAACTGATTGACTGAGAAAGAGAAGACGTGAGAATTGGTCAGCTCAAATACATTACTTTATCATAGCATGGCGTTGACTGGTATATTCGAACACCGCAATAACATGAAGCAATTTCGCCCAGATCTTGCTATTCTGCTCCACACTGGGGCCACAGTTTACAAAATTGCTCTTATGTTCGGAAGTTTCTTTAATATCTAGAATAGTATTGTAGTAAATTAGCCATTTACGACTAAAATATATTGAAATGAAATATTTGAACTACTTTCAGGCCCGTAGGTAGCAATTTCAAAAGGGAGGGCTCTTTTTTCTGCAAAAAGTGGAACTTTTATCATGAAACCTTCATGAACCTAGAAAACAATATCCAGAGCGGATCTACGGGCCTAAGATTATTTAACTGGCATGGCAGATCTCACCTGAAACGAAATGACTAAGACCACCGTAGCATGCTTTGAAATTTACAGTAAAATACAGTAAGAGAGATGTTAAATAGATCTCGAGATTCTTCACTCTCTCTCTCTCTTAGTTTCTTTATTCTTTACTTTTATTTGTAAAACCCACAATTCATCTGCATCAACCTATGCACATTGATAGAACGAGCATGCGCAGTTTCAGTTTGCCAACGTGGAGAATTACTGAGTGTCCAACTTTAAAACTTGTATAAATAAGAAGAACGTGGCAAAAAAAGCGTCGCAGTTGCCGTTTCTCCTTCCAGTCTGCAACACATTCGACAAGAAGAGAGATTCTCTTGAAGATGACAGGACAGGAAGGCGTGGCCGTGCTTCTGATCATCGCTTTGACAACGGTGACACCCGTTACTGGCGCTGGTCCCATCCCTCTTACTCCGGAGGAAGAGGCGCAAAGAGACAATGCTACAGCTGACATGGCTAACCTTCCACCCGCGCATCAAATGGTACCTGAACTGCCCCCCGGTCCAATACGTAAGTTACATTTTTCACTAAAATTGCAAACGTGACCGAGTATGAAGACGAAGATTTATCGTGTTGAGCTTTAAAGTTCTCAAAAGTGTGTTTTACGTACAATTTACACCACCATTAGCACTTTACGGTGAAGTCGGTTGGATACCACTAGTTTACACTCAATGGATGTTCATAATTAAATACTGGAATAGATCAATAACCATGGATAACAATAGACTTACCTAGAGACTGTTTGAGTACTAAGAGCTGACGCATGGGGAAATGATCCAATTATACAAGATGTTATGGGGAAAAAAAAGCAATATTCTGAAAAAGCCAATTAGCACAAAGAATATATGTGCTTTTCGAAAAGCACCTTCAGTTGTGAGTGACATGTTAGGCTGTCTATGGGTAAGACATTAAGGACAGTACTATGCCAATTTAGAAGCGGGATACTGCTGCCGAGGCTTCGTCCCGCCTTTGCACATTGTGTGATAAGAATATGGTTGAATATGACATTCATTTTGCTTTGGACATACGATGTTTCTGGGAGACTATGAATGTAATCATGATGACAGGGAAGATTTATCTAAAATATAATATGCTTAATTGTAAATAAACCTAAAATAATGGCAATTTATTTAAAGAACAGATTGAGATCAAGGTAGTCAGCTCAAGAGTTGAGTGAACCATAATTTATAGTGTTTACTTAGTTATAAATTTCAACCTTAATTATATTTTTTGTTTTGTTTCTGATATATGTACAAAGTTCGGTGACTTGCTGGCCCTGGTAGCTGGGTGATTTGTGTATCACATGTCACGTTAATTAATAAATGCTATTACTATTCCAAGCAGCACATTGGGGTTGGAAAATTAAGAGTGAGATGCAGGGTAGTTAGCCCAGATTTATTTTGAGACTTTGTAAGATTAAGTAACACGAAAACTAAGTGAACTTCTGGGTAGGTGTAATATTCCTCTTTTTAATCCTCTTAAATCTGTTAAATGCTAGCAAGGGTGGATCCGTGCAGATGTTCTGTCAATGACAGCTTTTGGATATCTCTTTTTTTTGTAATATCCTTTTCAATACTGTTGTTAGTGAACGTAAATACGAAAGGCATTATACCATCGGTTATAAAGCTTTTTTAGATTCTTTTTTTCCTTTTTATCAAATTCCTCTTTTGATGTATTATTTCTTGAGTATCGGATGCACTCACCTTTAATGATATAGATCATTTAATGCTGACCGTGGACCTATTATGGAGGTACTGGAACATATCCAAATTACCGTTCCTTTATCATTCAAGTTGCCCTTGTCCATTTCAGCGCCAATCCCGGCTTGTGAATGCCATGCGCATGGTGATGTCCGCTATGTTACGTGTGATGGGAGAGCCTTCCAATATAACACCCTGCCCTCAGTCGTAGGTATAATGGCAAAGCCTATAGGTGGCTGGCTATGGTTTATAGCAACGTTACAAGAATTCTTTGATGGCGGTCCGAAGACTCGTCTGTCAGCAGTGAAATTCAAGATCTTTTTTCACTACGTGATCATTGAGTACAAAGACACTCCAGATCCAGATGGACTGTACAAAATAACGGTAAGTTTTCTCCTCCACTTCTTTCTCCTCCTTTGGCCTCTCTCTCTCTCTCTCTCTCTCTCAGGCCACTTAGTGTACTGCTTCCTAAATGTAAGAACTTTGCCTGCATCCAGTGAGCAATTTAGCTACACAGAATTTGTACACGTGCTCAATGTGCAGTTTTTATATATATGGTTGACAAAAGACGATTTCCAGTGTATTCTTATTACCTCCTACAACAGAGAAGGTAATTGTTTATGTTTGTCGCTTCGAAATCTTAGACCCAGTTATTTGTCTTGGAAGAGACTACACTCTTCGATCCTTTACCTCCGACGAGAAGGTTATTTTTTGTTACCACTGTTACTTTGGAATGCACCTCATAAGGGATTCTCGACGTATGTTGATCAGTTTTCATGTTTTTGTGTGTGTTGGTTTTCAAGTTTTGTATGTTTGTGTGCACTTTCTTGTTCACAGTACTGTATGTATGGTTCTGATCGTTTTGTGAAAGACTGGTGAATGAACGTGACCACAAATTCTGGTGATGATACGTATAACCCAAAGGCCCACTTATACCAGAAAACGTGGCATAAAATGCAGCGAAATTTCAAGTCCCATTACTATCCTGGCACGCATGTGTCTGGGGCACGTGGATGTATAAGGTTCGACTCCCGGAATGATAACAAATTTGTCTTTTTTTTCCTTTCTTTTTTTTTTCAATTATTAAGAGCAAAATATAATCTTTACTCAATTTCTGTAAATTCATTTATAATTGATCGAGTGTAATGATGACCATAACATTGTCTTCAAATAAGTAAATGTAGAGGGAAACGATATTGCTGCATGCTTTAAATGTTCTTGTATGGGGGAAGGGGGCAATAGTGGCAGTTCACCACTCAAATGCATACATTTCTTTTGAATTATGCTACTGGTGTGTAGGGATTCCGAACTCCGCACTCAGTTCAGCTGACCGCTCTTGTTTGTTCGATTGACTGTGAAGCGCATAAAAAGTAATAAACGAATTTTGATGAAATTTTCGGGACAGATCACAAATGACACGGAGAAGAAATGGTTAGAATTTTGCGATGATCCACGGATGAATAATAATTAATGAATCAATTAATTATGTACATATTTTAATGAAATGTACAGGATTGGTAAGAAATTGGCCAATTGCATAATTTTTTTTTTATGAGAGGTCAGAAAATGAATGCAGAAAGAAACGAGAAGACTTGTTGATGATCCATTTAATTTTAATTAAATTAAAATGGTGTAACTTATGCATAATTCAGAACCCAACTAGATAAGATATCCTTGTTCCTACTTGTTTTTGAAATAGTGTCGGATTTCTTAATCAAAAAATGTCTGAATCTTCCTCCATATCTATTCTGTTGCCTACCGCTCTCTCCTGATGGCCTATTGCCCCCTCCCCCCCCCTTAAAAATATCTTTCCCCCATGCCCTGTCCCTCACTCCCCTCTAATGCCATTCATGTCCTCGTCACTGTCTTTACTTTGATTATTATTATTATTAATATTATTATTTTTTTTTAATTTAAAAGGTAAGCATGTAATGAATAGGCGAATTGCCACCTTCAATTATATTGCAACAATATTTAACCTTCTTATGAATAAAGATGTTTAAAAAAATGATTAATGAATAAATTGGTCATTACTTTTTTGTTTGACTTGGCAGATGTTTGCAGAGGTCCTTTTCTGTTTATACATTTATAAATGTTTATTATCATGATAAGATATCAATGTCGGGATTTTATCTCATTGCAGGTGGGAGCTGATTTTGTACCTGGTCCGCCGCTGTGGGTTGGTTCTGTCAGTCTTGGTCCTGCTGGGGGTCCACCTGGTGTTTTGTTCGTGGGGAACGGTTTTCAAATCTCGGTTATTCTGCTAGATGGCGATTTGTACATTGAGGTTAGTTCCACGCTCCTACCACCTGTCCTGTTCGACATTAGGATACGTGTGGCCCGACATTGTCTCCAGATTCACATTCCTCCGATCTGGTCTGGTTTCATGGAAGGGATATGCGGAGATTGGAACGGAAATCCAGCTAACGATGTTGTCGATTTTGTCGGCCTTCCACAGGTGACACCTGCACCGTTACAAGTTTAATAGCAAACGGTTGATGACGTAAGTAGATTGTATTTTATCTGGAATACGTGTAAATAAAACACACAAGATTGCTGAAGTTAATATCTCTCTATTCCTACCACACACACACACACACACACACACACACACACACACCCTGCATCCCCCAGGAAACGTTTTTACTAAAAACCTATTCCCCACCCAACTCATCAGATTAAAAAATTATATTAACTTTTTATCCCGATTTTTCAGCCTTTTATTCTAACTTACATAAATAATTTCTCTACCAAAATCATGACAGAGGTCTACAAATATATATTCTTTGTCTCATTTCTCTTAAAACCAGGATGTTACTCGATGACCCATGGCGTGATGACCAACCAAGCAACCAACTCTCTACAAACTGCGTTTTCTTTTCCCAGTCATTGATGTTGATGTGGACCACGGGAAGCACTGGACGCCATTTTATGTTTCACAGCTTTTGACTTGGGTTACCAAGGACCATGTCAACTAGACTTTTCAAACCCTATTCCCAGGGGAAAATTCGCATTTTGACTTATAGGATTACGAAAAAGTGATTATTTGACTTCCTCACTTCTTGTTCTTTGGTGAACGTCCATTGGAGAATCGAAAAAACACAAAGGAACATAAATCATGGACAACAAAACTGAAATTTTTGGGGGTGCATGCGACTCTTTCGGTTCTACGAGTACTATTCTATTTTTTGTTTTTTGTTTTTAATTTTAACATTGATGGAGGTTTTTAATGTCTTGAAATGCAAATTCTTGCCTGTGGATTTTTGTAAAGAGGTTGAATTAATCAGTTTGCCTTAACAGGTACATTCTTTCGAGTATGTAAACAAATTCTGGGGATTCTCCGAAAACAAGACTGACCATGACTGAGAAAAACACATTTGACACTTAAAACAAAGGCAATATGCCGCAAGAGAAAATAATACTTTTAGTACTTTTCATAATTTTCACAAGTTCTGTTCGATGGTTTTCATCTGGTGAAGTACAGTGGAAACGTGATTTAAATTGTGTACGATGTAGTGACAGTAGCTTCAAAATGATTGAACGTTTTAAATTTTTATTTATATTTCTCTTCCATTCGTTTCGCCGTGCTTGTGGCTTAAAATCGTTATTAAATTGTATAAATGATATCAAATATCTGAAGTTTGTTTTAATTATGTTAAAAGGGGAAAATTAAGAAAATCCGAAGATATTTTCTTTATAATTAGTCTAACCTCTTCATATTATAAAAACAGACCCAAAGCATCATGTACAAAGTAATTCCTTTCGATACAATGCCTGTCACTGGTTCTGTGACGGATTCGTTTTTTTTTTTTTTTTAGGGAGGGCTAGGATGCAACATAATGTTGGATGTTTGGGGAGGGGAGGGTTACAAGCAGCCAGTTAAAGGATAATAGCAAAATCAGCTGAAAAAAGTGAAAAAAGTGAAACTTTTAAGCATCACTTTGAAAAAAAGTGCAAAAAGTTAAAATTTTAAGCATCGCTTTGATGAAATCACTATAAAGAAAAAAAAACAGTAAAAACTGAAGAAAGAAACGTTAATAATAGACCAAATACACCCTCATCCATTTTCCAAATAAATCATGATCCAAGCAGCTGAGGTTTGAAAAACTACTTCACGCGAATACAACAATGCAGTGGCGTATTTAGGGGGGTGTAACGGGGGACCTGACCTCTCATCGATTTCTGGTCCCCTCTTGAAATTAGACCTTTGACAAGCTGAATCATAGTTCCAAGCCATACTAATGACAACGTTATGACAGCCCTTTAGCGGGCCTCGAACCCCAGGCCAAGTAAGGGAGGGGGTTGGCTGCGCATCCGCGAATGCGCTTCGTTTCTTCAAGTTGATTTTTTTTTTCAAAGAAAGTATCAAACTTCTTATCATGTGCCATGTACAGAAGAATAGGAGTAGATTAATATATAGATATATAGATATATCAAAGATATATCAAAGAAGGGAAAGATGTACCGGTATACATAACTTTAAAAAGAGGGAAAGATAGATACATTGAGTTTTTTAATAATTGTAATCGACTGTTAGTCATAATCTTAACTGTTGTCGTTGCCAAAGAGTCTGGGAGAAATCATTCTCGAAAAAAAGGGTTGGGTGGTAGCTGATAGCTATAGTAATGCCTAAATCTAGCCTCACCAAAAGGACTTAGGAACCACTGGTATATGGCAACTGAAGATGGCAACATCGTTAGTGTTCTGTTAATTGTTAATTCCAAAGCTTTCAATCACGTTGATCATTCCCTGTTTCATTTTAATTAAAATTAACTAAAAACCATGGGCTTACATAATGCAACTGTTCGCTGGATTGCCACATTCCTCAATAAAAGACGACAGCGAGTCAAACTTGGTCAAATCAGATCGGAGTGGCAGTACATAAATGGTTCGGTACCTCAAGGATCATGGGTGGGTCTATTGCTCTTTGTCCTGATGATAAACGATGTACATCTACCTCCTGGTAAATCTCTGTGCCATAAGTATATGTGTGACACAATTAAGTTAAGTGGCTTATTTAAGTGGCAATTAAGTTAAGTGGCTTATTTGTCTGTCAAGCCTACTGAAGCTGATAGGGGTAATTAACTGTCGTTTGAGAGCTTTAGTAGGCGTCCCAGACATCTAAGCCACTTTAGCGAGAAACCCAGTTGAGATGGACATATAGATCTAGGGATGGGAACCCAGTCCTAGAATATTCTGTCTAGGACTTTGAGTTAGCAAAAGAATCCTAGTAGAACAGTCTCAAGAAAGAGCTTTTAAGATTCTGAGACTTGAATTTTGAACCGTTGAGTGAAGGACGGCTGAGTGCACGCAAAAATTGTTTATAAGGATATCAAATGAACCGGATCGTAAATTGCCTTATCTTTTACAACAAGAGACATTCAAAAGACTTTTTAACCAGTGCCAGATCTATATTGGCGAGGATGAAATAACATGCATGAACAAGGACAACCAAAACGTGGTCACGAACAATCAAAACTTGAAAGTAAATATAGTTCCACACTTATGTAGGCACTACCCGTAAAAGCAGTGTCAGCCAGACTATCATATACATAGGCATTAAATGATCATTTATCACTGCAGAAATGAATTTATTTCAACACTGACTGAATATAAAGCACGTGCCGTGAATAAAGAGGCAAAAAACAACGTTAAACCATAGCGTTGATTATATGTTGGATAAACATTGGATTTGAAAGTTGACTCAACGTCAGATAACAACATTGTATCACCCCAGTTGTTAGAAAATATTCTTGCATGAAAACATATTAAAATGACCTGCAATGTTTTTACTTTTGTTACAAAACACAGGTGCACAATCATAACGCACACTGTAAAAACATCCAAATGCCTGCTTTGTCTGATTTTTTTCAACGCATTAAGCTCCTAGGTGCATGATTTGCACCTAAGCATGGTACACCCTTTTAGGCTGAGTTCACATGAAAAATCTATTTTCTAAAAATCTAAAAAATTATTTGCGGTATCTTGTGATCACGGCCTGTGCCCTGAATACCCCGCGGCGTTATTACCGGCAGCGCCGAGAATTAATTACAGCTTTGGAAGTAACTGGCCTTTATTTTATAATAGAATGTCAAATTATGCTATTTGGAACAGAGAATCAAATATTGCTTTAAAAAAAGCTTCCACCATTATTTGCCAGTCTAAACAGTGTAAAGTAAGATAAAATACAAAAATAAAAAGTCATTTCATGCTAATACATGTATATATGCTTCATTACTCTCTTTCAAATGTTAGTAAAATGAATAAGGAGAGCCAGACTGAGCTGAGACTGCATGCTTAATCCTATATACTACTACAGGCAGTTCAAGAGGAACACTGTAAATGATCCCGTTCTCTTTCAAATGACTTTTATCTTTTTATAATATGCAAGTATTCAGGACACCGAGAGACCAGAGATCCCAAACCACCCCACACCCGTTGCCTGATGTGGGAAATTGCCGAATCAGATGAAGCAGGTATAATGATTATTTATGCGTGGGCTATTGGCTTAAAAGAGGAATATGAAAAAGTAGAAATAAGGGACCGTTGACATGGAAAGTCTATTTTCTAAAATTCTATTTTCTATTCGCGGTGTCTTGTGATCACGGAAGTAACTGGCTCGCGCTGCCAGTAATTACGCCGCGGGATATTCAGGGCACAGACCGTGATCACAAGATACCGCAAAAAGAAAATAGATTTTTAGAAAATAGACTTTCCATGTGAACGGTCCCTAAAAGTTATTTTTCTAACTTCCATCCAGCACTGATCGATCAAGACTCTAACAGAGTTTGTTTAAGGATAACAATTAATAATCATTATTCTTAACAAACTCTTACAGTCTAGATCGATCAGTGCTGGATGGGAGTCAGAAAAATTCGCGTTTAAAGAAACTGAAAGTGCAGAGGGATAAATGTGTGGCTAAATAACACAACTGCCAAGAGATAATATTGATATATAGCGTATCTTACAACATTGGTCAAAAAGGTTGTCCCACCCCCATTACCATGTACTTTCATGTAAATTGTTAGAAATAGTGCTTTTTATCACAGATACCGTGCCTAACATGATTGATGGTTTCAAAAAAATACAAAATAGTGGTGAAAATATTCATATTTCATACCATTTAGTAAAATTTATAAGAGGTACCCCCTCAAATCCACTGTTTCACTGAACATTCCAAGCCTTTTGAAACAGAACGTAACAGGGACATTTTAATGTAACATTCTCAACAGAAATATTACTCCATTTGCAAGAGGTGACATCAGGGATGCTACTGGCTTCATTGTGACAACACACTCGTCTGGCAAGGGATTTGTTGCAGAAACACAGTGCTCTGAGTATGGGGTAACCGTATTTGAGCCCTGATATTAATCCTACTGAGCACCTGTGGCATAAATTGAAGTGTATTGCAGAGGATAGCCAATTCCCAAATAATCTTGACGAATTCCGCCACGCTCTTTAGGATGAATGGGACAATATCCCACA